GGTGCGAATCAGTACATGTCGCTGTTCCAGCTGCGGCCGTAAATCCTTTAGAGCTAAGAACACTGCTTCCAGCTCCAAGCGGTTTATGTGCCACCGGCTCTGAGGTTCTGACCACAGCCGAAGCCGGCATGCCCTCGCACACTGCTCCCCAGCCGCGAGTCAATGTGTCCGTCGTGACCACAACGCGCGACGTCACCAAGCCCAGGGGAACGCCCAGGCTGAAGAGATCTGGGTTGCACCATGGCTTCAGCACTTCGATGCAGTCGCGGGAGACCGCGATGCGCAAACGACCCGAAGCCCACGCCGTCCAAGGGACTCGAGATTTCAGCCATTATTGCAGCGGGCGCATGTGTAGTAAGCCCAGATGACATACCGCTGAAGCAGATGCCATGAGTCCCAGCAGCCTCTGAAATTCCTACAAGTGAACAGAGCTGCCCAGTATGAAATGGCGCAGGGAAAACAAAATGGCCGCCGAGTGCTCCCGAGAAAGGCGGGCTCTCATCTCCACCGAGTCGAAGCACACTCCCAGATATGTTATAGACTGACTCGGGGCGAGAATGCTCTTCTGCATGTTGACACATAGCCCTAGGGACTCCAAGTGACGAAGCAGCGTGTCTATATGGCTGACTAGCATGTCCTGGGACTGAGCTAAAATAAACCAATCGTCCAGATAGTTGAGAACGCGCATCCCGCTCGCTCTGAGAGGGGAAAGTGCATCCATGCACTTTGAGAAAGTGCGTGGGGCCAAAGCCAGCCCGAACGGGAGAACAGAGTATTGGTACGCTGTCCCCTCGAAAGTAAACCTCAGAAAGCGTCTGTGATGCGGTGCTATCTGAATGTGAAAGTACGCGTCCTTTAAGTCCACGGATGCAAACCAGTCCCCGGGTCGAATTTGCGCCAGGATCTGTTTCAGCGTTATCATTCTGAATGGACGCTTGCAAAGCGCTCTGTTGATGGGCCTGAGATCTAGAATCGGGCGGAGTCCCCCGTCTCTTTTGGGTACCACGAAATAGCGGCTGTAAAACCCGCTCTCCAGCTCGCTCGGAGGGACTCTCTCTATTGCTCCTTTTTTGATTTTTTTATACACATTGCATTCACAATAAAAATGTGACAATAAAACATCTACAGGCTTAGCTGTGCTAAACTATATATTTTTACTCTGATTGTACCACCGCCAATTCTCACCAATTCTTTCACATGACCTGTGCAACTTATCGTACAATAATACAATGGCTTTATGAGGGACTATTATTTATTAAGCTGCTTTAGGACCATTTACATTGTGAAAAGTAATATACAAACACAGCTGAAGTGAAAACAAACACTAAAATGTTCACAATTATTTAAACAAAGTAGCTTCTGTAATGGAGTAAAATAAATTCATGATCACTTGACATTTATTCATAAATGATATTTAGCCTACTCAAAGGATGATTTATACTGTATACTCAAAGCAGTCATTCAAGAACATCAGATTAAACCGTGTTTGTTGGTGATTTCCACATGCTGTTCTTCTGTTGAAGACTCCTGGATCTGATGTCATAAACCAGCACAGAAACACTGGCAACGCCCACCAAAGCAGAGAGGGCCAATCGGATTACAGATTCAGTAAAACCACAGCAGTGGATGGAGTCTTGTGTGAGAACACATGAGCAAAGTTAAAAAAACAAAAAAAAGTATACAGTGTCATTGATGTACCTTAAAGATAAAGTAATGATAAATACAGACACTAATTAGTGTGAATGTGTGTCTGATCTATAACAAACACTAGAAACAGTAGCACTATATAACCTGAAGATCTTTTATGTAGGTCTTTATGTTAATAATTATGATACTTATAGTACATACAAAAAATAGAAACAGAGATGAAGCTTACATTTTAAATTACAATTATTTTAAGATCATCAGATGCCTTACAGCAGTTATTATCACAGTTATAGTTACAGTTACTGTATGACGTCAGTGTACACTGAAGTTTCTTATTTTAAAGGAAGGTTTGATTCCTCATAATATTATTGTCAGATCATCTGAATTATTCACAGACAGCTGATAAACAATCATTACTTCAAAAAAACTTGAGTTACTCACCACTGACGGTAACAGTGAATCTCTTGTATAAAGTCTGTTTGTTGCTGCTGATCTTCACTGTATAAAGTCCAGCATCTGTGGTTCTTGTGTTTGTGATGATCAGAGATCCAGTCTGATGATCCAGTTTCAATCTGTCTCTGAATCTCTCGTCATAATAAATTGGTAAGCTCATGGATTCTATATCAGCTTTAGCTATGAGTTTTCCTTCATCTCCAAACCTCCACACTATCAGCTCATTTCCTTGTATTTCAGTAACATTAGTCCGAAGAGTGACAGAATCTCCCTCCATCACTGATACGATCATTTCAGCTTTATAAGCATCACAGACATATGGAGACTCTACAAGAAATAAATTCAGAGACAGATTAAACATATTAAACAAAGTTACTGGAAATAGAATATGGAGCTTCACAGTTGATTAGTTCATCTCATGGTTACTACATAAATCATAAAAGTATAGTATCAGTCTGACATGTAGAAAAGTTGCATGTAGTTGACCAATTTGATTGGCCATGAGGCGTCTTGTTTCATATCACAACACAGGGACATTTTATTGTTTGAATCCTCATTTTATTGTTAAAATTCCTAATTCTAGAGAATGAATCCTGCTTTGAAATATTTCAATACTGTTACTGGTGGAATGAAACTAAAAATATCTGGCTATATTCTGTATCAAATCAAAGTCACTTGATATAGATTTCTTCCTAGAACTGTAGTATAAAATCAACATCATGCTGATGTTCTGAATATCAGTCATGTGATCACCTGCAGCCCAATCACAGCTGTGATGATATCTGTGATGATACTTGATCTAATTATTAAAAAAATAAATATATCCTCACCATAGACAGTGAATTTCTGATTTAAGGTCCCAGTGCTGTGGTGGATATGTAGTTTATAAAGTCCAGAGTGTTTGGTTCTAATGTTCTTTATGGTGAGAGATCCAGACTGATCCAGCTGCAGTCTGCCTCTGAAAATCTCAGTGTGACTGGGATAGGAGATGTCATTTCCATCAGTTTGAGCAATGACTGAATCTCCAAACCTCCACTCTATCAGATAACATTTCTGTATTTGAGTGAGATCAGGGTTTAGAGTGACAGATTCTCCCTCCATCACTGTCTTCACGTCATCTGCATCAGCACCAAATACACCTGCAGAACAAACAGAATAAACACCATTCAGAAGAGAATAAACTCATATAACATTGCTGCTAATGCCAGTGAACAGATCTGAGATGATACTTATAGTACATACAAAAAATAGAAACAGAGATGAAGCTTACATTTTAAATTACAATTATTTTAAGATCATCAGATGCCTTACAGCAGTTATTATCACAGTTATAGTTACAGTTACTGTATGACGTCAGTGTACACTGAAGTTTCTTATTTTAAAGGAAGGTTTGATTCCTCATAATATTATTGTCAGATCATCTGAATTATTCACAGACAGCTGATAAACAATCATTACTTCAAAAAAACTTGAGTTACTCACCACTGACGGTAACAGTGAATCTCTTGTATAAAGTCTGTTTGTTGCTGCTGATCTTCACTGTATAAAGTCCAGCATCTGTGGTTCTTGTGTTTGTGATGATCAGAGATCCAGTCTGATGATCCAGTTTCAATCTGTCTCTGAATCTCTCGTCATAATAAATTGGTAAGCTCATGGATTCTATATCAGCTTTAGCTATGAGTTTTCCTTCATCTCCAAACCTCCACACTATCAGCTCATTTCCTTGTATTTCAGTAACATTAGTCTGAAGAGTGACAGAATCTCCCTCCATCACTGATACGATAATTTCAGCTTTATAAGCATCACAGACATATGGAGACTCTACAAGAAATAAATTCAGAGACAGATTAAACATATTAAACAAAGTTACTGGAAATAGAATATGGAGCTTCACAGTTGATTAGTTCATCTCATGGTTACTACATAAATCATAAAAGTATAGTATCAGTCTGACATGTAGAAAAGTTGCATGTAGTTGACCAATTTGATTGGCCATGAGGCGTCTTGTTTCATATCACAACACAGGGACATTTTATTGTTTGAATCCTCATTTTATTGTTAAAATTCCTAATTCTAGAGAATGAATCCTGCTTTGAAATATTTCAATACTGTTACTGGTGGAATGAAACTAAAAATATCTGGCTATATTCTGTATCAAATCAAAGTCACTTGATATAGATTTCTTCCTAGAACTGTAGTATAAAATCAACATCATGCTGATGTTCTGAATATCAGTCATGTGATCACCTGCAGCCCAATCACAGCTGTGATGATATCTGTGATGATACTTGATCTAATTATTAAAAAAATAAATATATCCTCACCATAGACAGTGAATTTCTGATTTAAGGTCCCAGTGCTGTGGTGGATATGTAGTTTATAAAGTCCAGAGTGTTTGGTTCTAATGTTCTTGATGGTGAGAGATCCAGACTGATCCAGCTGCAGTCTGCCTCTGAAAATCTCAGTGTGACTGGGATAGGAGATGTCATTTCCATCAGTTTGAGCAATGACTGAATCTCCAAACCTCCACTCTATCAGATAACATTTCTGTATTTGAGTGAGATCAGGGTTTAGAGTGACAGATTCTCCCTCCATCACTGTCTTCACATCATCTGCATCAGCACCAAATACACCTGCAGAACAAACAGAATAAACACCATTCAGAAGAGAATAAACTCATATAACATTGCTGCTAATGCCAGTGAACAGATCT